TACCTGCCCTGGGACAGAGAAAATGTGGCTCTTTGTTTTGTTTTATTTTTTTTAGAGATGGGGTCTCATTCTGTCACCCAGGATGGAATGTAGTGGCATGATCATGGCTCACCATGGCCTCAACCTCCTGGGCCTAGGTAATACTTCTGCCTCAGCCTCCTGAGTAGCTGGGACTACACCACCACCCTCAGCTTATTTTAAAAAAAAAAAACATTTTTTGCTCAGCCTGTAATCCCAGCACTTTGGGAGCCCGAGGTGAGTGGATTGCCTGAGCCCGTGGGTTCGAGATCAGCCTGGGCAACTTGGTGAGACCTTGTCTCTACAATAAAAAATCAAAAATTAACCAGGTGTGGTTGTGCACCCTGTAGTTCTGGCTACTTGGAAGGCTGAGGCAGGAGGATCACCAGAGCCCAGCAGGTCGACGCTGGAGTGGCTGTGAGTGTGCCACTGCACACCAGCCTGGGCGATGGAGTGAGACTCCAACTCAAAAAACCCCCCAAAACAGAAAACAAACAAACAAACAAACACTACATTTTTTGTAGAGACAGGGTCTTTCTATGTTGCCTAGGCTGGTATCAAACTCCTGGCCTCAAGTGATCCTCCCAAAGTGCTGGGATTACAGGTGTGAGCCTCTGCACCTGGCTCTTTAGCAAATATTTAGCTCTCTTCTAGGTAATCACCCCATCCCCTGCTTTTCCCTAAGTAGAGGATGGGGGCCTAAGGTGATCTCCAGGTGCTGAGAAGGAATATGATGCCCCAGCCTCCTCTGCTCCTGCTGACACTTATCCTATTGTCATTGCCAGATGAAGCCCAATACCTAACTTATGATCTGGTCTGTATTGGTTCACCTCAGCTTTCTCAGGTATGCTGGGTCCTCTTAGGCAGGGCTGTGAGCCCCCTATCCTTGGCGCAGGGGCCCCACCACAGGGCAAACTTCCTGTTAGGTTCTTGGCTACTTCTGGGTCCTGTTTGTGTCACTCGAACATTCCTCAGGAAAGCTAAAAAGCAGTCTTACCTTCCATGTAACTTAGCTCGCTCTAGCTAAACTTAGGCTGCCAGTCAGCCTAAGAGGTTTTTTCTAAGTCCTAAGTGAGAAGCAGGACGGAAATAATCCTTTCCTTATTTACCCTTATTTAACTAACACACATGATAGTACTAGTCCACACTTGGACGACAGTTAATATGTACTTTAAGTAACTTAAATCTGGGTCAACCACCCTTCGAGGAAGATGCATCGTTATCATTTACACTTAACAGTTGGGCAAACTGAGGCACAGAGAGGTTGATGCCTTGCCCAGGATTGCACAGTCCTTGGCAGAAGGTGGAGCCCAGATGGGAACCTTGGTGGCTTGGCTGCTCTCCCAGCTCTGCTGAACCCTGAGCCTTCTGCCTTTATTCCTCCTTCTGCTTCTCCTCCATCACCCACCCAGGCCAGAAAAAGGCAGGTTTTCTTTTATTTTTCCCATGCCTCAATGCTCTTGCTACTGTGAAGCTGGGTTCTTTGCCATATAAAGACTGGATTGGGTTCAGCTCCTTTTGAACCTTTTCTTCTGTGTTTCCGGAGAGACTATGAGTTGATGCCAGCTGCGAGGCAAATGTTTCACTTCTTCACTGTCCACTTCAGAGGAATTCTGGGAGCTGCCAAGACTGGCAGGTGGCGGGCATCCAACCCGCATGTGGAGATCCAGAATGTGTCCTCGAGAGCCTCGCTCAGATATCAGCTCCTCCCTCGGCAGCTAATGATATCCCCGAGGACACACGGCAGGACTGTTTCCTCTGGCAGCAAAAAAGAATTTGGCAAGGGCGGCCTCCCACCCTCTCCCGCCTGGGAGGCCCTGTGTCTGGGCAGCCGCCCGAGGTGAGGCTGCCGGTCCTGGGGGCTCCACAGGGAGGTAGGCCTGTTGCGACAGGGACAGGCCTTCTATTTTCTTCATCTTCTACCTCAAAGCGCTCTCAAACAGGTTCGGGTCAGGTTTGCTGGACAGTGTTTCCCTGCTGAAGCTGTTATCCACGGGTTCCTAGGTTTGCCTGTAATAGAAATTGACACGAGGCCAAACATTCTCAGACAGACAAGGCTTCGTTGGGGGAAGGGCCCTTGTATGAGGGAGACAGCTTAAGAGGAAGAGTCTTCGGACTGTTTCCCTGAGGGGAGTTTTCCGGAGTTTTCGTTAGATGAGGGGAGAGGTGTAATGTCAAAGGGAAGGTATGTTAGCAAGATCAGGAAGGGGTTTTAGTCAGGTAAGAGTAGTGCAGACGCAAACATTATACTTTGCAAGTACAAAAAATGGTGGATAAGCCCCACCTGGGGAGGGAATTTTAGTATTGAGAGAGGTGACCGCTAGAGAAAAGCTAGGCAGACAGGGTGGGTCCCAGTGACAAAGCAGTAAAACTTCCTGCAGGCCTCTCAAGCAGCACAGCTGGCATTGGTAAACAAGCTCCCTACAGGCCTCTCAAGCTAGAATTTAAGCTCTCACTGCTGAGATAGAAAAACAACCAATCAACTCACTGCCAAGTGCTGACCAATCAGCTCACCATTAGGCCCGTACTTCCTGCCAATTGGTTCTTAGTATCGACCAATTAGCACAACTAGTGCCAACCAATCAGCTCACAGTTAGTGCTAGCCAATCAGCTCAGTCTTAGGGCTATATATATATAAGGAGCCAACTGAACTAGGGTCGCTGCCTGCAGAAGGTGAGGCTCTTGAGGTGGTATCGTCTGCGTGTAAGCTTGCCGGACCACTGAGTCGGCAACATTCTCAGGGCTTGGCTTGCTGGCCCATTAGAGCCAACACTCCTGGGGCTAGGCTTGTCAGACCATCAAACTGGCACTCCCTGGGGCTTTGCTAGCCTACCCACTGAGCTGAGACTCTCAAAGCCCAGGCCGAGCTGAAAAATCCATATCAGTATTATAATGAAGCAGGGTTACAATCAGATACTCACTGGTCCTCGTGCGCATGCGGGATAGGGCTAGGCAGGGGGCTATGGTCCCAAGCAAGATTTATGATGAAACACTGTTAATGGAGTGTTGTTGCACTCTGGTGGTTAAAATATGTGACAGAGGCTGAGGCCTGAGCCATATAAATAAGCCATGCATCAAGAGGAGGGAATGCCCCTACACCTGTGGTGATAGTGGCCTCTGCTGCTCCCATTTCTCTGCAGGCAACAGCTACATTAGTGTCATGTCCTTCCCTCAATAATAGCCCAAGTTCACTGAAGAGCTTCAACAAACATGTTTTTAAAAAAATTTCATTTAAATTTTTAATAATAGAGACAGGGTCTTGATATGTTGTCCTGGCTGGTCTCCAACTCCAGGCCTCAAACAATTCTCCTACCTTGGCCTTCCAAAGTGCTAGGATTATAAACTTGAGCCCAGCAAATGTGTTTTGAGTGCTGCTCCCTGTCAGACTCTGCTGTAAATGCAGGGACTACAGAAAGGAAAGTGGCTGTGGCTGCCTGTAAGAAGCTCACACACAACCTGATGGGAAATCAGACCCGCACCCACCTAGCTACCAGACAGTCCCTTGGAACCCCATCTTAGTGGTTGAAAGGGGATGTTATGGAGCAGGCAGGGGGAAGTAAAGTGTTCTGGGAGGAGAGGGTGGTGGCAGAAAGTGTCACAGAGGAGGTGACATCTTAACTGGTCCATTGAAGTATAGGGATTTTGTAGAGGAAGAAGGGGAGTGATTCTGGCTTGACTTTGAAAGCATCTAAAAGGTGAAGAGAGAAGCTTCTGTGATGTTCTTTGATGGATCATTCCAAGTTTCTGGCTTCTTTTCCCAAGTTGTGGACTTACATTCACCCCACTGGTTTCACCTGTCTCCGGTCATCTTGTCTACTAATTCAGTGCCTCTTAGGAAAGCCTGGTTGCTTACTAGCAATGTCACAGTCCCCTAGGACTTTGGTAGAAACGCAAATTCTTAGACCCCAATTCAGCTCTACTGAATCTGAAGCTCATGGAATCTCATCTGATACAAAGTGGAAGTTGACAGCCACAGCTCTGACACACCCAGAACTTCAGGGGCTGGTGCAGAGGTTGAGAATGATCTAGGGTGCTAGCTGTGTTCCTTCCAAGAGACCTGTCAGAGGTTCCTGCCTGGGTATCTATGTCCACTGTCCAGACATATCGTGCAGCCACCAGGGCTGGTCTAGGGCAGCTTATATTTATTTATTTAGTAGAGATGAGGTCTCGCTCAGGCAGCATTTTATTTATTTATTTGAGATGAGGTCTCACTATGTTGTCCAGTGGTCTCCGGCAGTTGCCTATTTATTTATTTATTTATTTATTTATTTATTTATTTATTTATCGAGGTGTGGCTATGTTGTCCAAGTCTCCAACTCCTGGGCTCAAGCAATCCTCCCTCCTCGGCCTCCCAAGGAGCTTCGATTACAGATGTAAGGCAGGACTCCTGGCTTTCACGTGGTTTCTTCTAGGGTTTGATTACAAATGTGAGGCGGGACTCCTGGCTTTCAGGTGGTTTCTTCTAGGGTTTGATTACAAATGTGAGGCAGGACTCCTGGCTTTCAGGTGGTTTCTTCTAGGGTTTTGCACACGGCAGGAGAGAGAGGTCCTGCCCCAGACTTATTCCCGCCCCTGATATCGGCCTCCTTACTTATGCAAGTGAGCAAGCGTGCTCTCCTGGGGTCATTCGTCTAAGCGCCCGGGACGGCGGCCACTCCCACCGCAGAGCGGGTGGGGTGGCCTTTCTCCAAAGAAAGACTGGGTCAGGTGACCGTGAGCATACTCAGCAGGAGACGCGGAAGGACGGCGCCCAGG